CGGCTATAAAGCGGCTTTCTAGCTACGTCAGCACTGCTGAGCAGAACTTAGCTCCTTAGGCCTCAATATTATTCTGGTTGTATGCTCCTGAAAGAAAGAAAAAACCTCGCCACATTGCCTTTGCAACCTTTCCACCTGACAGAAACTCAATCAACTGAGCAAAAACATCCCCTTAGAGCAAGTATCGGATTCTATTGATTATAGAAGTCTTAGCTGGATATTCTGCTATAATGATAACTGCTTAATACACCTCTCGAGTAAGGAAGATTCAGAATAGTTCTCTCAGAAGCTTAGGTGCTACAGGCAGATAGCAATAGCAGAGCGAGGATATATGCTCAGCACAACTACAGATAGCAACAACTCAGACTGCTTTGATATCACTGAACAGAGCATTTAGGTATTGAAAGAAGAACTTAGCAACGAAACTCTTCACTATTCTTCATCATTTACGCTAAGCGCTATAACTAGGGATATAGATAAGAAATGATATTCTCTTGATTATTGATATAAATATCTGAACGATACCGAAAACGCTTCTCAGGCAACAGAAGGATTAAGCTAGAACGAATAATCTGATAATTCACCAGAATCTTCTGTAAACAATAAACTCAAGAAGCTTACAGGAAGATTTCCCTTCAGCATTGAATGAAATAAGAAAACAACATAAGTTAAATATCTTATTTATAGGATAGAACTAGAGAAGCTCTTTATCTGCATTCCCTTGCAGAACATCGAAGCATAACAAGACGAGAATCCTCAAATCAGCTCACTTCATAATCTATATTACAAACTAGCATGGATCTTCTGCATCTACTATAGCTGCAGAACGCATTTCTCGGAGAAGGTGCAATACAAATGATTCCCTGTTAGAGAATCAGAACAAATCCTTCAGGCTGTTGAAGAACAGGAGCTCTGCTTCAGAAAGGTTCTCAACAGACAGTATTACAATGCATATATTGAGTTACTAGATAACTGCTCTATGCAATGTATAAATAAGAAAATAGAGTAGTAGTAGTGCAAGATAATGCTCTGTACGATTCATATTAATAATAAGATTTGCAACTAGTATTAGCAGAAGAAAGATTAGGAATAATAATGATATAAGCAAAAGCAAGCTAAAAAGCTTGCTTAGAAAGCAGCAAAGCAGGCTCAGAGGGAAGGCAAGCAGCTCTTAATAAACTCAAAAGAACAGGATTGCTTGTAAAGAAACTGCAGATAATCAGACTAGAATGATTCTTATATAAAGCTTTCAAAGCAGACTATGCTCATATTAAGTTCGATATATACATTCAAGAATACAAGTACAGCGCACTATTGAATAGTAGCGCTTAGAGAAACTTCATATCCTTATACATCATTAATCAAACATAACTACAATAGAAATGAAAGAAACAGCTATACACTCTCAGCATTATAAAAGAACAATCTATTGCATATAATCAAGAAATAATCGATAAGAAAACTGATTATCTATCTATCTTAATTCAAGAATATAAAAACAGAGTTTCTTTTGATATTACGGATACAGTATAGCATGAGCTGATTATAAGATTTTCATAGCTCAAGAAGCATAATCCTCGAATCGATTGAACTACTAGCTAGATCTCATGGGAACAAGCTATACTCAGAGAGATAGTTACAATCAATAGCGCAGGATTAAAGCTAGTGATTGAAGAATATTTAGGAAAAGAAGCTTCATACAACTTCATACATACTTCCAAGTTAGCAGAGCTGGCAGTACAAGGAGAAGGATCTAGTGATAAGCGAACTCAAATAGTGCTAGGGCGCTGGCAGGTTAGCAAAACAATGGAAGCAAGGCTTTCAGCAAGTCGGTCCGCTCCGGAGCGATAAGGAAAAGCTTCAGAAAGTGGATTGTGAGTTCATACAGGAAAAACCTCAAAAACGTTACTAAGAACGCTATCAGAAAAGAAGCACGCTCAATAATACCTACTGTTCCTTCAGGTAGCAGAAACAGCACAGGAATCAGAACTAATACTTGCGAATATATTACAAGAATACTACAAGTTCAAGAAACTATTCCAGAGAGAATTGAATATAGAACTGCTAGAATACAGCTCATACAACTACGAAATCCCGCTATAAGAAGGGAAACAGCCCAAATTCTTCCCTATCTACAGACTAAATAAGATACAGCTAGAGATACTCAGGGAGTATCTCAATAAGAATCTCAAGAAGGAATATATATAATCATTGCAATCATCAGCAGGATATCCTATCTTATTCATATTTAAGAAGAATAGCAAGCTCAGATTATATATTGATTATAAGCAATTCAATGATATTATAATTAAAAACTAATATCTATTGCTACTTATCAAGAAATTATGAAATAGATTGCAAGAAGTATAATGATTTATAGTTCTAGATCTAAAAGGAGCTTATAATCTGATCAGAGTAAAGAAAGAAGAAGAATGGAAAACTGCTTTCAGAATATGCTATGGATACTACAAATATTTGATTATGCTTTTCAGTTTAACAAATACTTCAGCCTTATTCCAGAAAATGATCAATCATATTCTATACAAGCATTTGAATCAGTTTATTATTATATATCTCGATAATATTCTTATTTATTCTTGAATACTGAAAGAATATAAGAAATATGTGGAAACAGTATTGCAAATGCTTTAGAATGCAAAACTTCTTATAAAACCTGCAAAGAGTTACTTCTACATATAGAAAGTTAATTATCTCGGATTCATAATCAAATCAGAATACATTAAGCTATAGAAAGACAAGATAAAAGCTATTAGAAACTAGCTAATTCCTAAGAATATTAGAAATATTAGATTTTTTCTCAAATATATCAACTTCTATAAGCAGTTCATTAGAAACTACAGCTGAATTGTATATCTTCTTACAAATCTTACTAAGAAAGAGCAATCTTTCGAATAAATCTTCAAAGCATAAGAAGCTTTTGATAAGATTATTAAGCAGATCATCTCAGAACTAATTCTATATGAAGCAGATCTCTACAAATCCTTTAAAATTAAAACTAATGTATTAGAATATGCATTCGGAAAACAACTTAGTTAGCGAAATAATTAAGAATATTTAAGAATTGTAAGCAACTTTTCGAAGAAGTTGAGCACCTCAGAAATTAATTACGGAATCCCTGATCAGGAACTCATAGCAATAGTAAAAGCCTTTAAAAAGTAGCAATACTATCTCATTAGCATATAATACTCAATTATAATTCATTCGGATTATAAGAATCTAACTATATTCATAATAATTAAAGTCTTGAATAAGCAATAAATTAGATAAGCACAATTTCTCTTACAATTCGATTTTAGGATTATATACTGCAAAAGCTTAGAAAACAAATAAGCAGATGCTCTTAGTAGATAATCAGATTATCAAGATGCAGATTCCTTGAATATATAGAATATCTTTGCTCAAAACGAGTTAGGAAATCTTGTTAATGCATATAGAGAGCTGAATGCTGCTCTCAGGATTGAATCTTTAGAAAAGGATTCAGAATCAATAACTTCAGATGAATAAGACAACTATATTAAGAATATACATAGTATATCAGCATATAAGCATTAGGGAGTTAGAGCAACTTATAAATGCATCAGAAGATACTGAAACTTATCAAGCTTTAGGAAAAGAATCGAAAACATCTTACAACAATGCAATAGCTGTAAGAAGAATAAAGCAGAAAGATATAAGCTTTACAAACTACTGCATCTCCTACTAGTATCTATAACTATATAGCAATTCATTAGTCTAAACTTTATTATCAAGCTATTTCTCTTATAAGAACTCTTAACTAAGATGTAATATAATAATATTCTAGTAATAGTTTGCAAACTAAGCAAATATGCTTACTTTCTTCTCTATAAGGAAAGCAGTATAGTAGAGGAACTTGTATATGCATTCTTTAGAACGATTATTACTAACTATAGTACATCAGAAGAAGTAATCTTCAATAGAGATAGAAAGTTCAATTTAAAGTTTTGAATTTTGCTTATAAAGCAGCTCAGAATATACTATAGAATATTTATAGCATTTTATCTGCAAACAGATAAATAAACGGAAAGAATGAATTAGATTATCAAATAATATCTTTAATACTATATTAACTAGAAATAGAATAACTAGATTAATCTATTGCTTCTTGCACAGTTTGCTTATAATAGCGCAGATATAAGTATAATAAAGAAATCATTATTCTTTATACTCTATGAATACAATCTAACAGCTTATTACAAAGCATTACTAGAAGCAGATATAAAAGCTATAAATAAAAGAGTTAAGAAGATTAAGAAAATTCAGAAAGAATTCTAATCAGAATTATAATTCATTTAAGAACGAATAATGCAATATGCAAACTCCAAAAGAATTAAGAAACTAATTCTATAGAAAGAAGATAAGGTTTACTTACTTCGGAAAAATATCAAAACAACCAGATCTAGCAACAAATTTGATTATAAGAAATTGGAACTATTTAAAGTCTTATAACAGATCTCCTTAGTTAATTACGAGTTAGCATTATTTCATAGAATGAGGATATACTCGGTTTTTCATATCTCACTGCTGGAATTAGCAGCATAGGAAATATCAGCAGATAATACAGCAGAAGTGGAGAATAACAAACCAGAATACAAGATAGAGAAGATTCTTAAGCATAGAAGTACAGACAGCATGAGAGAATACCTCATCAAGTGGAAAGATTACTCAGCAAGTGAAAATTCATGAGAACCACGGGAAAATGTTAAAAACGCTTAAGAAAGAGTGGCTGAGTATTGGAAGAGGAAGGAAACCAGCACTTAGAACGATCGCTCCGCCTCGGACCGAGACTCAGAAGCTTCAGAAACCTCACTCTTCGGAAAATCCTCCATCTCAGAACGAACCTCTCGAACATCAGAAGAACCTCCATCACCCTCGATACCACCCACATCGCTCAAAAAGGAATAGTCCAACATACTATCAGGAGACCAGGAGAGTTCTCCCGAAACTAAGGCAGAAAACCTTTCAGGAAGGAGATCAACAGGAATACGGGCCTGCTGCTCCCTTGCTAGCTTCTCCGCTTCCACACAATCAAGCTCCTCAATCGTGTTCAAGCTACGATGCACTGCGCATGCTATTTTCTCGGCCCACAGCTTGCGCTGTTTCCGCAACCAGCACACCTTGGCTATAGCACGCTCTAGCTCCTCCTCCGCATTGTCAAGAGCAGCTTCAGCAGCGGAATGCTGAGCTACAATCTTTTCTACCTGCGACGGCAACAAACCGTGCATATTACAATTCCCATGCTTGTACTTAATGCACTCCATACAGCGTAATGAATCCTCCTCAGAAGCAAAGCAGCGAGCTTTGCAATTCCTGCAGAAAGAATACATCAGCATCTCGATGCAACGAGAAAGGGCAATGAGCTAGAGGGAGATAAACTGTTTCATCTTTTTATAACGAGCTTTATCGATTCTATTCATTATCTGTAATGAGCACTGCAGCAATCCGAAGATTCCTAAGTACACGGAGGAGTTTATGCTAATAAGAGCGGTATCAAAGTATTAAGTCCTTAATACGGAACCGTACAAGTCCTAATAAGTGATGCGAGTGTTCACTGCCTTTGGGGCTACTCAGTATAGAAGACTGAATACTTAGATTAACAACTGAAGAGCTATATACTGAATTTATCTAATAGTTATGAACGTATTCTTATATATCCAGTTCTTCAGTATGAATATATTGAATAGCAACATATCTAAGTTATCCTGCTAGCTCTGAATAGCATATATCCGAAGCTATCCTTCCTGATTGGCTGTGCCCATAACCCTAACCCTGGATTATGTAATCAATGCTTTGTTAGAATGTTGAGTTCTTGATACCTGGTTCCTGTTACTCATAACTTGTTTTATGATCTGCATGTTGAATGGATCATAACATCATCCCCCTCCTATCAGTCATTATTCCCAACGATCTTTTGTAAGTATTCTAGCAAGTCTTCCGTATACATGATCTTGCCTTCCTAATTGAGATGTCGAACAGAATCAACAAATCTCGTTCTCGTGCTGAGAAGACTAGGCAAAAGAACTCTCTTCTTTCCTTGGTTCTTAAAAACGCTATCACTATGCTTTCTTGTTCCTTTTGCGAGAGTTGTAGTGCTCGGTCTTGTTAAGTTTCCGTTGAGGATTCCTCTCGCTGCGCCGAATGTGTTCGCCTGGGCTGCTCTCGGTGCAACGTTCAAGGGTTGAGCGCAGCGGAAATTCGTCGGATAGGCGTTCAACACTAACGCCTGGAGAACCAACTCGAGAGTGCTGAGGAGCGGCTGCGCGATGCTGCTGCGGAGGTAGAATGCTTGCGGAAGCAGAAGCGTCTGTGGTTTGAGAGGATGATGAAAGCTATTCGTTGAAGCCTTTCCAGTGTGGAGGAGTTGGAATGTGAGAAAGCTGAGGAGAAGCGGGCTTGCATTGCTGCTGGGGTTCGTTCTGTAATTGCAGAGGAATCTGCTGTGGTTGCTGGAGATTCTTCTTTTGAGGGTTTTGACTGGAATTCCGTGAACGTGGGGAATGCAGTGGTGGATTGGTCGGGTTTCCTGGGGGGCGAGGTTTCTGAGGCTCCTGGACCTCGGTTTGGGGCGGAGCGATTGTCTTAAGTGCTAGCTTTCCTTTTCCAATATTCAGCTATCTTTTCCTGAGCGTTTTCAACATTCCCCTGTGATTCCCATGAATTTTCACTTGCTAGGTAATCTTTTCACTTGATGAGGTATTCCCTTGTATTGTCTGTGCTTCTGTGCTTAAGAATTTTTTCTACTTTATACTCTAGTTCGTTATTTTCTACTTCTGCTGTATCATCCATTAGTATTTCCTATACTGCTGATTCCAATAGTAAGATATGGAAAACCGAGTATATTCTCATCTTATAAAATAATACTAACTCATAATCAACTGGGGAGATTTGTTATAAGATTTTGAATAATCCCAACTTTTTGTAATTGAGTTTATTGCTAGATCTGGTTATTTTGATATTTTTTCGAAATAGATAGACTTTATCTTCTTTCTATAGAATTGATTTCTCAATCCTTTTGGAATTTGCATATCGTACTATTCGTTTCTGAACGAATTGTAATTCTGATCAGAGTTTCTTCTGAACTTTCTTAATCTTCTTGATTCTCTTATCTGCAGCTTTTACATTCGCTTCTGGCAATGCTTTGTAGTAAGCTGTTGGGTTGTATCTATAGAGTATTGTAATGAGCACTGCAGCAATCCGAAGATTCCTAAGTACACGAAGGGGTTTATGCTAACAAGAGCGGTGTCAAAGTGTCAAGTCCTTGAATACGGAACCGTACAAGTCCTAATAAGCGATGCAAGTGTTCACTGCCTTTGGGGCTACTCAGTGTATGAAACTGAATACTTAGATTGACAACTGAAGAGCTATGTACTGGATCTATCTAATGGTAATGAACGTGTTCTTATATATCCAGCTCTTCAGTATGGCTCGTTGGGATCGCTGGCGAGTCTAGCGATCCAAGGTGTGAAGCTCGTTGGGATCGCTAGCGAGTCTAGCGATCCAAGGTGTGAAGCTCGTTGGGATCGCTAGCGAGCCCAACGATCCTCCCTCCTTTACAACCCTAACCCTGGGTTATGTAATCAATGATTTGTCAGAACGTTGAGTTCTTGACACCTGGTCCCTGTTACTCGTGACCTGTTCTGTGACCTGCATGTTGGATGGGTCATAACAAGTATGAAGAATAGCGATTTCTTTGTTATGCTTATATCTGCGCTATTATAAGCGAACTATGCAAGAAGCAATAGATTAATTTAGTTATTCTGTTTCTGGTTGATATAGTATTATAAGTATTGTTCGATAACTTGATTCATTCTTTCTATCTATTTATCTGTTTATAAGTAAAATGCTATAAATATTCTGTAATATATTCCGAGCTGTTTTATAAGCGAAGTTCAAAACTTTAAGTTGAACTTTCTATCTCTGTTAGAGATTACTTCCTCTAGCATGCTGTGATTAGCGATAATCGTTCTGAAGAATATATATGCAAGTTCCTCTGCTATACTGCTTTCCTTATAGAGAAGAAAATAAGTATACTTGCTCAGTTTGCAAATCATTATTAGAATGCTATCATATTGCATCTTAATTAAGAGTTCTTATAAGAAAGATAGCTTAGTAATAAAATTTAGATTGATGGTGTTGTGGTGGCCAGGGTGGTAGTCCGTGGGACGTGGAGTACAGTGGGTCAAGGGTCCTCATACATATAAAGGATACCACCCACTTTTCAAATTCTTTAGCTATAAAAAAAAAAAAAAGAAAGGCATCCTTTCTCTTCTTTTCAAATTTTGAACCCTTTGGACAGGTCTAAGACAGGTTTTTCACCCTGTTCTTGCGCCCGTGTGGCCTTAGTTTGCTGTCCTCATCTGTACAGGCACGCTTGGGTTGCACGAGCCCTTGCCCATTGCTTCGGCAGCTATTTGTCCCTTTTTCTTTCGAGGACGACGGCGCCCTAGTTCTGGTTCAGCAGAACTATTAATAAAGAAAATTCCAGTATAATACAGAATAGCTAACTCAATCCCTTGTTATTCATCATAAGACAAATCTTATATACGCTCCACTTACAGACTGAATCTCTCTCAAGCATCTGAATTCTCTTAATCTCTATAGTATTGTTTTCTGCAGAATACGGAAAGCATTCCAGCTGTAGCGCTTTCAACTCAAGAACCTCGAACTAGAAAGGCAAAGAAACATCGGAGGAAGCAACAATCAAGAGGGAAGATAGCTTCTATATCTGAGAGCTCTTTCAATCAGATATTCAGTTCAGCTAACTACTTAGCTAATAACTACTATGATTAGAACTTCAGATTTCCCTTTTATAGTAAGCTTGCTAGTGATAGATTAATGTTGTTTGCTTGTATAGAAGTTTCCTTGTAGCTAAAGCAATTTGATTAGTGGCATCAGATTAAAGGGATTGATAATACTCAAGTATTCAACTTTATGAAAAGCTTCTATGCAGATATAATCATTGCTGAAGAAGTAAAGAAATTCATTATAAGCACTAAAACTTGGAATGAACAGAAGAAGCAACTATTAGTTGCTTATTGCTCTTGGAATCATCTTTAAATATACATTCTCAAGCAGAAGCGCTTAAATATTATTAATAACTATTTCATTATCAATGCTGCTAGCTTCTAATTATTCATTATAAACTATAATAATGCTCTTACTTGTTTTAAGATCAGAGATAATCAATCTATAGCAGAAGCATGAATAAAGCTTTCTTCAATCTGAATCAAGCGCTTTTAAGCTAATCATAGTATTACTGCTGAAAGCATCAGCAACAAGAAGTAGCTTTATCTTATGAAAAAGCTGTTGGAGATTCATTGTAAAGCGCTTCAGGAGAAGACTCAAGACTAACTTGCTTTTAATACTACTAATCTTTAATTTCATCAACAGACTCAATTCCAAGATCCTCCTATGCTTTTACTTCAACTAGTTCTTAATCAGATACAGCTTATTCCTATTCTATATCCAATATATAATACTCCTAGTTAATTAATGAATTTATTAGAACAAGCAGTAGAGCTATTATACTATTAATTATTTTAATAATTAATTTGTAATTAGCAAGCTTAGCTTAAACTAACTAAGCAGATCTTAAAAGCTAAATCTACTCAGAAGAATAACTAAGAATATAATTAATTAGCTTTAATAATAAAGCAACTCCATATTAACTAAATTGCAATAATAAAATCCTTAAAGCTATAAACTAATGCTCTTAAACAAACATAGAATATCTCATATAATCAAATCAAAGCTCTACAAGAGATCTTATAACTAATCAAGTATTCCCAAACTGTTTCTGCAAGAAATCCTTCTCAGAGAAATACAAATTCCTTATAAATGAATATTACCTATACAAGTTCGGAGAATGAGAATAAGCAATATTCTGAAGCATAGCAAGCGAAGATTAATGAAATCCTAAAAAAGAACGAAACTCTGCATAGATGCTATAGCTATAGATCGAAGTCCTATAGAGCTTATAAATATATAGAACTCTGTACTATTATAAACTATAGCATTTGCTATACTTCAGCATTAGCAAAGCTAGAATAATATCTTAGCAATTGCTTAAAGTTTCTGAATTCTAGATTAAAACTAGTATTATATAGCTAGATTATATCTGCTCAAAATAATTTCAAAAGCAGTATAATTCATTTAATTCTCAGTTTCTATAAGAATTAGCAGCTAAAGAGTATTAAGAATTCTTGGATTTCTTAATATATTAGCTTAGTTTAAGAGAATGAGAAATAGTATAGAGATTCTGAGATAGCTAAGAATAAGATATTATAAGAAGAGATTAATTCTGTTCCCAGATACAATAATCAATACAGAATCAATAATATTGAAATTCTTAGCAATACTAGCAAGATTCAAGTAAGAAAATTATATCTTACTTCAGCTCAAGCTAAACTATATCTACTAAAGCTTCTCAGTATCAATGCTATAAGTATTAAGCTTATTCAAGCTCAGATAAACGCAGATAAAGCAAAGAAGCGCTGTATTAGAAAAGCTGAGTATAATGATAGTAAGATTGAAAGAGATGTAAGTATAAGAACTGTTAAGATCTCTATACATTTCGAGAATATTGAACTGGAAAAATCTAACAAGCAATTCAACAATCTGAACAGAAAGCTAACAGTTTAAGCTATTAATAACAAGCTCTTAAATCAGTTTCTAGATTACTTATTAAAGATCTTAAGCTGGAAGATAATAATTATATTACTAGAATGAAGAGCTTATCTGATTTACAGTTTTCAAGGAATTAGCTTTAGAGCTCGAAAAGTTATTAATCTTAATAATCAAACTAGCTCAGATCTGTATAAAGCAGATACTGCTGAATCAGCTAATTCATTGCAATATAAACCCGGAATCTTAATGCTTTTCCAATCTGAAAAGCTTATTAATAATTAGATTATTAATACTTAGAATATTACTGAGTATCTTTTGAAACTAGCTTAATTATCTGCAATTCAAGCTTTATTTCTTATTGCTAAATCTAGCTATATCAAGCTTATTATTAATATAATTCAAGCTTTTAATAAATTCTTATTTCCTTCTATGATAGCTTTTATAACTGCTCTTAGCAGCATTCGAGATAAAAGCATTGCTCTGATAGCATACATTCCTCTGCAGCTGAAAAGCAAAGAGAATAAATCTGTATAAGCAATGCTAAATACAAATACCGAAATAAGCTTAATAGCTCTCTCTCTGTATTCAAGCATACACTTATTTTATATACTAACATCGAATATTATCTTATATACATACAATGGATTAGATATAGCACTTATTGAAATTCTTGAAACCAATATTTTCTGTAGTAGCTTCTCTGAATAGATAATATTCTATATTATTAATAACAGATTAATATTGCTAAATTATTCTATATTATTAGAAATGCTATTTGTAATACAGACTAAGCTTTTCTTTGATTATTCTATTTCCGGATTTCTCCATACAAGCTTCGCCTTTAAAGAAGTACAACTAGTTATTACAATCAGCAGTTAGAAACTCCTTAAAGAGGAGAGTTTACATAGAACTATATCAAAAAACTGAGTGCTAGCAGCTACTCTGAGGAATACAGAGCTATCAGCAGAGAAATTATTCCAGAGTGAGTATTGTTGAAGAAGAAAGATATAGCTGTAATATTCATATCTGAATAAGATATTGCAGCTATTATAAATGAGTTAATGATAGAATTAATGAGAAGGAAGTTGAAGAAGGGTTGCTTTATAGTGAATGAGAAAGGAGCGATTCAAGAGTCTTGCTTGTGTGAAATGCATAGCAGCTAGCGCTATTCACGCTAGCCATGTTGTATAAGAAAGGAAAGAAAAGATGTTTTAAGCTTAATTAATACTCTTTATAAGCTTAAAAACAAGAAGATTAAGCTAATTAATAATTCTCAGCCTGATAATTTAGTACTAAAAGGGATAATCGGATAAAAGCTTGCTAAGATTGAGAAGATAAGATAAGCTTAGCAATCTACAAAGCTTACCAAGTATAATGAGTAGATTAAATCCAAGTTCAGCAATCTGAATTCTGATTAGTATCTAAGATCTAACTAGTAAGCTGCTATACAAGAGAAAAACTATAAAGAGTTTTCTAAAGCTAAGAAAGAAATATTCAAATATATATTGAGAAACAGAATTAAAGCTCTTGTATAGAACTTTACTAAGATTGGAAAGATTATTAAGAAAGTAGCTTTCTTGCAAGAAATTAGAACTATACTCTATAAGATCTTTTAAGCAAAGCATATTTCAATTCTTAATACTTTTAAGCTAAAGTTAATAAAGCTTCTGAAATAATATATTAAATAGAAGATTATTGAAAAAAGCTATATATTATACAGAAATAACTAGTTTCTTATTATTAAAAAGAATAATAGCTTATATCTGATCAATAATGCTCAAAAATATAATAAGTATAGCTTCAAGAATGCTTTTATACTGCTTATCTCAGATGAATTCTCGGAGAAGTTCGCTATATATAAGATTCTTTTACTGCTTAACTTCTTTTCTGAATATAATCAAGTATAACTGCATTCTAATAGCAGAAATATAATAATCTTTTCAACGCTCTTAAGCTTATTCAGAATATATATTCTATTCTAGAATATTACTAACTCTGTTACTCAGTTTATAAGAATAATAATTAGATTTTTATATAATCTTATTTCTTATATATACTAGCTTTTTCTTAATAACATTTCTATTCATAGTTTTATAACAACTTATAAGAATAAAGAAGTTTCGAGCTTTTCCGGAATGCATAGATATATTGCTAAGCATATCGGAAATCTTAATAAGATTCTTGTAAATACAGAATTAGCTGAAGCTATAATCTCAGTATTCAAGTTAGAATAATGCTGAGTGAAAATTGATATAGTTAATTATATTATTAGTTCTAGCAAACAATAATCTTAAAATAGAAAGATGGAAAAGCTTCTAGTTTGAACAGAATGTAAGAATATCAAAAACATTTGCTCTTTCATTAAACTAATTATCTATTATACAGCTTGGATTTGGAATTTTGCAATCATTGCTTAACTACTTTATAATCTTCTCAAGAAAAGTATTGTATGGAAGTAGGAGAAGGAACAGAAAGAAGCTGTTGCTATATTTATTCGAATATTCACATCTTATTCAGTTATTATTTCAATTGATTATAGCACTGATGCTAAGAAGATTATTCTTATGATAAATACAAGCTTGTTAAGCTGAGAAGCTATACTAATACAGATAGTAGAGAATAAACAAAAGCTAGCATATTTTATTAGCAAAATCTGAATAATTGCAGTACAGAAGTACAATGCTACCAAAAGAGAGTATTATACTATTCTCTATACTCTACAATCTCTTCAGCAGCATTTCTATAGTTGCTATTTTATTCTGGAAATCAATACTTATATTCTAATAAACTAATTTAATAGAGAGATAAATAATATATTTAGTATTCTTCTAAACAGATAAATAGCAGTAATTAAGATATTCAACTTTATTATTAAATATATTCCCGGATTAAAGAATTCTGTAGCTGATACTCTTTCTTGATTTCTATATTTAATACTATCTAAGAAAAACGAAGATAGCAATATTAAGAACTAATATAATGCTTAGCTTAATAATATAAACTTAGATAAAGCTGATTTAATACTACTGCTAAATTTAATTCTTTAGTAAATAAAATAATTAAAATAATATACAGAGTTCTTATGCTATGAAATCATTTTATCAAAACTTTCTAAAAGGGATTATAAGAACTTTATAGTAGAAGCATTAAAGCATCAAGTACTTAACCAGGCTCTATAGCGCTGCGCTAATGCGAAACTTCTATGCTGATGAATAATAAATAATTCTGATTTTCATTGCTGAATCATTAGAGAATATTATGCTAAGTTTGAATATCGAGGCTGAGACTCTATAGTAGCTTGTATCAAGCAACTTTACTACTGAAGAGATCTCTGAACAGATGTGGCTAATGCTGTCTCGAATTGCGAGAAGTATGCAAAGTTCGATCCAAAGATGTGAAAGGAAGGAGTAATTCCAATCCTTTCAAGTTAATTCTTTATAAGAATTAGCATTAATATTCAATATATAGCTAAGGATAGTAGTTACAGATATCTTATAAAGGCTCGCTGTAATCTAACTAGCTATATACTTGTAAGATCTCTTAAGAAAGCTATAGCTACGGAAATAAGGAAGTTTATTTTGAAGAAGATCATTCTTATATTCGGATGCTCTCTCAAAATTACTATTAATAAAGAACTAGAAAATAAGGCTGAGATAGCTAAGATCATCAGAGCTCTTGGAATCCTGCTTATCCAGATCTTTAGTTACAATCCCTATACTCAAGAATAAGTAGAAGCTGATTATCTTTCCTTAGTAAGTACTCTTGCTAAGCTAGCTAATATTTAACTCTAGAGATAGAAGCAGTACTTAAGATTTATACTCTTCGCTGAAAGAATTATAATCTGCTAGTTGCATAAATATAGCTTTTTCTATTTAATTTTCAGTTGAAAGCTGCTTATTCCAATTGAAACTAAAATCCTAATATAGAAAGTTCTTATATAAGCTGAAGACTAATCCTCTTAGAAAGCATTTAAAATGCAATTAAGAATAATTGCAGCTAAGAAAAATAATATATAGAAGGCAATTGAAGCTATTCAGGCATATTATTAAAAGATTATAGCTAAAAATTAAATATAGAATCTAATATGAAAATCTTAACTGAATATCAAAGATCTTATGCTTATCTATAATCATATTCGGAAAATAAGCTATTTATGCAATACTAAGATCTCTTATAATGAACCAGAACTAGGGCGCCGTCGCCCTCGAAAGAAAAAGGGACAAACAGCTGCCGAAGCAATGGGCAAGGGCTCGTGCAACCCAAGCGTGCCTGTGCAGATGAGGACAGCAAACTAAGGCCACACGGGCACAAGAACAGGGTGAAAAACCTGTCTTAGACCTGTCCAAAGGGTTCAAAATTGAAAAGAAGAGAAAGGATGCTTCATTGTTGCTTATAGCTAAAGAATTTGAAAAGTGGGTGGTATCCTTTATATGTATAAGGACCCTTGACCCACTGTACTCCATGTCCCACGGACTACCACCCTGGCCACCACAACAATAAATAGAAGAGTTTATATCTGATTGCTTAGATTCTAAACAAACATACTTATAAGCTTAAGACTACAGACGGAATTCTGCTAAAAAGCATATATTCAGCTATCAATCTCAAAAAGTTTATACAAAATATAGATAGCATTTAGGAATCTGAGATGCTTATACTCTGGAAAGAAAATATTAAGCTTCAATCTGGCTAATCATTAGCAGAAAAGCTGGATTTAATAAGAGCTTTCTAGCAAGAGAAACCAGATAATAATATTCTCGAAGTTTAGAAAGCAGATTCAAGCAACAACACTACATTCTGAGTTTCAAACATCATTAAGCATAATCCCATATCTAGCTAAACTAGTTCTGATTCAGAAACTATTAATCTAGCAACTGAAGCGGATAATAATGCTGAGAATGGAAATAGAGTTAATGATAGTGAATATTTCATATAAGCAGCAGAGAAGGAGAAGCAAGAACAGAAGAAAGCAGATAGAAGTAGGATGTTTATACTAATCCCAACTAAATCAGTATTCCTAGCTTATAGAGAAGATTGATTTCTTTCTGTTCATATTTCCTTTTTGTTCGCAAAATACATTTTCTTTTCATCTTTTCTATTTCATTTCATATATTTTGCTGGAAGAGAAGAAACAAAGTATTATCTGCTACTACTCGCCACAGAACACTATAAACCCACTTAAAAATTTCAAAGCATTCAGCACAGAGCATATTAATCAGCTCTAAAGCTATTTTCATTATTCAAAAAAATTGCAATATATTGAAATGCAATATATGAAAAATGCAGAGTACTAAAGAAATACTGCAACCTATGAAAACTCTTTATTTTTATATATTATTCTCATTATCAGAATACTCGTAAATATTATTCGATAGCTTTCTTCTTATCCTATTCAGATCCATATTATTCATATTATCCGCTGAAGAATCATTATTAAAAACAGAAGAAGAACTCTGAAATTGAACGAACTTAGCTCGTTTCTCAATACAAGATTCTACTACAGCCTTGCTCTTGCCTTTATCCTTGCTACGAAATACAGATTATAAAGCTGCCTGCTTAGACTTAGATACTCCCTTCTTGGAAGCAGAAGAAGCAATACTCTTCTTGCTAATCTATGCAGATAAAGTTAGCAATGATTTCCTTAAGCATTGCAACTATAATTAATTATAAAACTTATAGTATCCTATGAATATTACTTCCTTAGTATAAAAGGAACTTATTTGATCTAGTTATATGCAATATCTTTATTCCGTATAAGCTTGTATTAAGCTTTAATAATATGCTCAATATTAGTATTGGAATTGATTTAAGAATCTATCTCGATTATATATCGAGAGCTAAATTAGTAAAACAAGTATTAATGCTGCAAGAAGAATAATAATTAGTATATACTCAAATCTAATCAAAAATATCAGAATGGAAATCTTACTTGCATATTACACTTTTTAATACAAGAAAAGTTTTTAATATAGTTATACTCAGATTCTGCATAATAAATATAGTTGCTATACTTCTTATTAAAGAAGCTCTTTATTGAAATGCATTCTAGAAAAAGCTAGTTAATATTAATCTGCTGCTTTTATATAAACATGCAAGCAGTAACATACTAATAGGAGCAGCAATTGCAAGAGATTAGATTATACTAACTATAAAACTGAATAAGAAGGGAATTTACTTGCTTAGATTGAGAGAAGATGCAGATAAGATACTCGCTGAAAAGCTTCTAATCAGCTTTATATACTATAATAGAATTCAGTTTAATAAAATCCTTATTATTCAGCTTTGCGAAATAAGCAGCAAAGCTAGAGCTTAGCAGTAAGTTATTTCAAAACATAATATCGCTTTAGATATCTCAAGAAGTATATATCAAGCTAAGATCTTCCTTAATAATATTGAAGTTTGTAATATTAAGAAAATTAATATGAATATTCTTAAGCTAGTAATAATTGCTGCTCTAAAAAGAAGAAACTAAAGAAGAAAACTAGATTTAGATCTTATTAATCTCTTAAGAAGCAGTATTTACATATAAAGAGAAAACAGCATTAGTAATAATTCGAGATATCTTAAGCGTATTGCAGAGCTGAGCAAGGGAAGATTAATAGAAGGAGAAGTTGTTATGCGAAGAATGAATTGAAAAGCAAGGTGAACTGAGAGAGAGATTATTGAACAGATTGCTAAAGATTGATGAGATAGTAATGAATAACAAATACATTTAACTGAATTATCACGCTTTTTATTCAGTTTATTGCTGAATAGCTTCTATTTAGCTAAGAATAAAGCTGTTTGCTTTATAATAAACGAAAAGCAGTGAATTACTTGAATAATTGCTAAATAAGATAAATTAGCTATTTCATTCATACTCGCAGCCAGCTATTCTTCTTCCTCCTTTAATCTCTTCATAACTACC